AGACTGATTTACGATTTCTTTATGTAAGTTTTGGTGAGAAGATAATTTCAAGGTTAGCTCATGAAGCACAGCCCATAAGGACTAGCTCACATGGGACATTAATTCAGAGGAACTAGAAAGTGGACCAGCATTGTGAGGGCATGAGCTAAAAGCGACTAGGGCTTGTCCAGACCAGACTTCTTAAAAGCAGAGTTATTACTCACTGTTTCTCCTAAAACCAGGTCACTTATTAATCAATCAACAGATATTTATTAGGCATATTTCCCCTACTTTTTGTTTTTGTAATATGGCTTTGGAGTCAAATCAAGACCATCCTCCTATTTTCTTTTTTTTTTCTTTATTATTATACTTTAAGTTCTAGGGTACATGTACACAATGTGCAGATTTGTTACATATGTATACATGTGCCATGTTGGTGTGCTGCACCCATTAACTCATCACTTACATTAGGTATATCTCCTAATGCTATCCCTCCCCACTCCTCCTACCCCACGACAGGCCCTGGTGTGTGATGTTCCCCATCCTGTGTCCAAGTGTTCTCATTGTAAGACCACCCTCCTATTTTCTAAGACTGATTTACGATTTCTTCATGTCCTGTTGCCAGCAAGACATCATGCAAAGGTAGGAAGGAAAAAAACTGAAAACTGAGGTTTCTGATGCCAATGCACTGGGGAATCACCTGCTTAGATAACTGGTAGCTGGTTTTCCTCCTGCCCCTCCCATGCAAGATTGCTTTAGATCGTTGCTACCATATTTATGTCTACTCTCTTCTCTTTAGAGAGGTCACCCATTTCTCCTCTCCTTACAGACAGCTGGTGCTAGCTATGTCATCTAATCTTTCTTTAATCAGCTTCATCAGTTTTCTTTCCATTCCTACCTTAAGCAGTGACTGACGGCGGGGGCGGGGGAGGGGGGTGGGCAAAGACAGTTTCTAACAGTTTAAAAGAGTAAAGTTTAAGAACGGCCAAATAACGACTCATCATCATTAAATACAACATCATTTGAGGCAGCACTTAGGCTCCAAATTCATCTCCAGTTCTCCTAATATTCACTTTGCAGAGATAAATCAAAGAAAGATTTTCATTTTCACACAATGCTCACATAGTATGTGTCTTTAAATGGTCATTACAATTCAACTGTTGCTAAGATCTACAATTTTCCTTCTAATTGACAAAAACAAATGTAGACAGGTTCTTGAAAGTGATGTTTATTACTAACGAAAATAGTACAGTTGTATACATAGGAAAAGATCCTTATTTATTCATAAAGACTTTAAAATATTTATTTCTAATTATCCAATAAGAAGAATAGAACATTTCAATAAAATAGTACAGTTAACATGAATTTATTTGATTCAAACTCTGGATAAAATGTCATTATAAACAAGGTGAAAAAGAAAAGTCCTTCATTATCCATACTCCATATTAAACATATATTATGGTATGTACACTATTGCTTATGTATCATCACATAGTCCTGATATGTGAAAAATTATACCTGTATTCTCTGATACCACAATTATTTTTTCTATATATAATCTTAATATTTAAAGAAGTAATTAAATATGAGAAAAAACACCAGGATGAGGAATCATTTAACTTAGGCTGTAGCTATAACCGTGTGGGCTGAGGGCAATGTTTTTAACCAGTCTTACTATCCCAAGGGGAGTGGTTTAACCTGTCTCTCATTAGCTCACAGGAGTAGCGTAAGGTTTTACAAAATGCATGACTCAAGGAAATTTCCAGGCAATTCTTTACATCATGGTACTGTCCCATCTTCCCACCTTCCACCCGGATATCCTTTGTGAAATACAATGCAATGGATTTCAGGATTGTGACCGTCACATCATTTTTTCTGCATTTATTACACAATTGGGAGTAGAATAAGCTAGAATCTTGACTCACTACAGCTGGATTGTAAATGAGGAAGGCTGGCCCCACCCATTCCTACTGGGAATTGTTAGAAACGTTTTAGAAAACAATAAAACAACCCGTTTGGGGTTTGTTTTTTTTTTTTTTTTTTTTTGCTAAAACATCTCAATTTAATAGTTATTCTACTTCATTAGCTTTTTCATTATGAAATAAATATGTTGTCTTTTATTCCGCTTGCAAAATGAAAATTCAATTCAGGGACAGAAAGATGTCAAAGTAGCCATTGTTGAAAACAGAAATAACATAAAGCTACCAAAAAAATCATGAAATGGAAGTCAAATTTATAAAACAAGCATACAAATGAATAATCAGTTCAGGTATCATACTTCAGCCAACCTACTTTTAGAGCCTACAAAGAATATTTGTGCAGTTTCCAACATTTTGTTAGAGGTAATATTAAGTCAGAGTTGTTCAACCACATTACAATTTAGTGTGGAAAAAAAGGAAAAGAATAAAAAAGAGAAAGTGGGTAGGAAGAGCCAACCCATGGTGACTAGATAATGCAGAAGAAAAACAAAGAAGGTGGGAATAAAATAAGGTAAAGCCTGTACTTGTTTTATTATATAAAGTAAATGGGGCCGGGCGCAGTGGCTCACTCCTGTAATCCCAGCACTTTGGGAGGCCAAGGCAGGTGGATCACCTGAGGTCAGGAGTTTGAGACCAGGCTGGCCAATATGGTGATAGTGAAACCCCATCTCTACTAAAAATATAAAAATTAGCCAGGCATTGTGGTGGGCATCTGTAAGTCCAGCTACTCAGGAAGCTGAAGCATGAGAATCGCTTGAACCCAGGAGGCAGAGGTTGCAGTGAGCTGAGATCGCCCCATTACACTCCAGCCTGGGTGACAGAGCAAGACTCCATCTCAAATAACAATAATAATAAAGTAAATGGGACTTCAGGCCACATAAATGTGAACAAATACCCTTAAACCTTTGCAATGGTGAAAATGAAGCCCTATTTATCAAATAAATTCCCCTTTATCCACAACCCATACAAAAGGATAGTGTATGTAATTCAGTTATAAAGGCTACATCTGTAAACCACCACAGTATCTTATAACCTTTTATAATAACATTTTTAAAATGGTAATTTACCATGCACTTTTACTGCTAACTGCATTTTATTGTTTTCAAATAAGGTGATAGTCTTATTGAATATTATATTGCTAGGTTAACAAGAACGTTCTAGTACTCAGAAAATTTCATTCCTCAATTGTGCAATGTAAACGAGAGTTCAGCCTAAGACTTTTAAATGATGGCATGGCATTAAATCACCTTTGAGGAAGGTCTTTTAGAAAGAAGCCCTTTAGGGGTAGTTTTTTCCATCAAACTAATAGCTCCTTTAGTGCTTTGCTTTGTACATGAGTGGATCTTCGCTGGGGAAACTGTGTTCTTCAACCTTTCAACAGTGGTTCAGCTATAGCAAAGGTAGGACAAAAGTTGTATTCCTCAACTGAGGCCTCCTGTTCTTTCCCTGATAGTTGAGGGGTTCCTTTACCCTTCCATTTCATTGGTGTGGAGCAGACATTCATGAAGAGCTAAGTGTTTTGCTCTTGCATGAAAAGGTCATGCAAAAGGAAATCAGAAATGGTGACGTGTGTCAGAATTCCCAAATTCCCACTTCACTGCTTAGTTTGTGGAAAACAACAACCCTCCTTTGGCTCAGTTTGTGCTTCTCCTGAGTGTTCCACATGGTGACCTGCCCTAGAGGGATTTGTGTCCACCTGGAATTCTTCCAGCAAGCACACATTCAAAGAGTTGCATTCTGAGGTTAATTTGTGATAAAATATATTTTCATCTAACACATAGTATAGGAAAACAGTTTGCAATCTTAAGCAGAAAATTTTGAAAGTTTCATAAATAAAACTAAGCATTTAGTAGTGACAAATATCATTAACACTTAAAATATCTTAAAGATAATTATCAATTACTTTTCAAATGGGCCCAGTGGAAAGTGTCTAATTATCCAATATTAAGACTAGAACATTTCAATAAAATAGTGGAAAGTGTACCTATACTGAACTGTTAGAGGATCCATTATGTGAGTAGAGAATGAAAGGAAATACTAGGACAAGGGTGCCACCTTGGCGCGGGCATGCATGCGCATACACACACACACACACACACACACACCTTGTTATCCACACATACTTTGCAAAATACCTGGCCATCTTCGAGGTTTTCACTAGTTTTACTGTGGCATACACCGAGCCCGGATATTTAGTTTCCAGTATCCTCATTATGAGCAGAATTGGCAGTCATCAAGTTGAGGAAAAAAAAGTGAACCAAGTATTTTATCTTATGGTCAGTTTATACTGGTTATTTATATCTGGTCAGAAATAAATCAAAATGTTCAGAATTGGTTTTGGCAAACATGAAAACATCTAGTATAAAGTATCTGCATTAATAATAACCTAATGCATATGCAATTTAATAACATGATGATGATTATTTGGCCTTCTCAAAAAAAACACTAGGGGGAAAGAGGAAAACTTCCATTTTCTGTCAAAATTTATATAAGGTATGGACTTCCTATCTGTTCAGTTTTTTAAATATTTTAATAGTAATAAAAGCTTTGCCCTGTTTTACATAAGCAGGAGTTAATTTAGACTGGAGGTATTACACAAAGGAGAAGCAATGAAAATGAGCTAATCTATAGTATGTGAGGTAGTTAAGTGCTGTTTTCCAAATTAATATACCAGGAACTGGAGGAGAGACAGGATTTGCCCAAGACATCTTTAGATCTCAGAAGCAATCAGGGAACCTCAGTCCAGCAATCAAGAAACAAAATATAATCTCAGCACTGGGGTCTTGACCTGACACTCACTTCCTCCCTGCCCATGTGATTAAATTTGTCTTTAGATTAATGGGAATCTTCTAAACTTTATTTAGAAGTTTATTATTGCATTATTCCTGAAAACTCAAAAAAAAAAAAAGACATTAACATAGTTAACATAACAATAATGTGGTCTTGATTAATATGCTCAGGAAATGCAAAACACTGATAGAAGCATAAAAATACAACCCTAATTCTATCCTGCAGCAAAAAAGTTTGCTTTTTCTTTAGCAGTTTGATCAAAAAAAAAAGAAAGAAAATATTTTATTTAGATGAATGCCTGACTATAAACTACCCACTAAGACTACTTCAAAAGTTTTCCCTTCTACCCAACAATAACAAATATGCTCCAAAATATTCCCTTACTAAGCCAGACTTCTCCATGTAAGAGTCTCACCTTATTTTCCTATTGAGAAACCCGAGGCACAGTTCTTAGGAGACACCCTCAATGATTCAGAAGCAGACAGCAACTGCAGCCCTAACTCCCAAGTCCAGCTTTTCCTTGTAGAATACTTTCCAGAGGTTATGTAGTTTTCAATTTCTTTAAACACAGCTTTCAGTCTTTATAGAAATAAAAATGGTAATATCTCTTACTACATTCTGAAAACTTAAGCTGAAAAAAAAAAAAACAGTGTGCCCTACATTTAATGTTTTAATAGAAAACTCTTCTTCCAACAGTGTTCAAAATCCAGGTTAATTATATGACATAAGCGACAAGTAATCTCCATCTTCTCCAGGCTTCTAATCAGTTTCAGAACAGGAGTTTTGGTTAAAGCTCTTCCCTGCCATGAAAACACAAACAGCAATTCAGTAAAAAAAATAAATAAATAAAATAAAAACAAGAATGTAATAAAATGCAATTACTGTCATAGAACACTAAGCTATACTCCTAAAATCATGAATACTTTCTATTTTTTTCTTTCTTTGAAGGAAAGTTGTTCTGTGCTGTGCTAAAAAAATTTCTAATCCACTCTACAAAGACCATATGATGCTCTAACTAATCCCGAATCAAATCCATTGATATTTTTTGGGCTACCTGATATATGAAAACTCTGAAACTAAGTGAAAACTGAAAATGCTATATGGATTATGTGCCTGACATCTTTCCGATGTCTTATTCCTTCTATGACCCTCCTCAGGTTACAGAGCCTGTGTGGACTTTCTTTTGTGTCACAGGGTCTTCCAGTTCAAATCTTCTTTGTTTCATAGACTCTTTGTGTGTATTTTAATGTTAGACAGTGCACCAGAAGAAACAGAAACATGTAGTCAATCTGCCTATTCCCATAAGGCTCTCCTGAATCCTTCCTTTGGATATCTTAGACTAGAAAAGACTCATTTTTAATTCAGTGAACACATTCAGGCAGGTAGCTTCCAGAGGCTTCTAAAGGGCCTTAGGAAAGACAAAAACATTCCTGTTCTTTCTATTGGATACTACTGAAATGGAGCTGTGGGTCATCTGCTGGCTGAAGAGGCAGAGATGAATGGATTCTCTGGTTTAAAAGGCAGATGCCTGGTGATATTGCTCTGGCTGCGTTCAGTAAGACTGGCAGCACCTCCTAGGAGCCAAGTCAGATGTTCAGAGATTTTTAGAGTTATCTCTACCATGCACATGGAATTAGATTTCTAAGCATCTTTCTCAGTTTCCTTAGGTATCAGTTTGTCCCTTCTCTGAGAGAGGAACCACGAGCAAAGCAGCCACCTATCAGAGAAAAAGAATTTTGAGTAAAGGGGCAGGGGTTCCACTCAGGGCCATGGGTGTTATTCTGACCCTTCATTAATTTCTTTTATAAGCATGTATGAATTGCTCTGATTTTTCTCTTCTAAAAGCCAAGCCAGAAGATACCTGTCTGGCCCTCTGTGAACACACACTTCCACGAAGGCAAGAGTAGGACCAAATATCAATACCAAACTGTAATCCTACCCAATACACTGAGCTAATGCCCACGATGGCGTCTCTTCAAGATAGTTTATTTTGTAACCTATGTCTAGTTATGGATTCTGGGAACAAAGAAAAAAATTACAGATTTGCCCAAAATGCATCCTGAGAAAAGCAAATAGGAAAATTAAGATTAACTTGATAGAGGCAAGAGATACAGTTTAACGAGATTTGTAATTCAAAGCATACTGAAAAGTATCTACAGAAATGGAATTGAGGGCATATGTTGCAATATGTGAGGACTTATGGCTACTCAAATGTTCTTCAAAGGAACTATCGATGAAAAATATTTTATGGCATCACATCAGTCAGATCACTGGTGAGATCTATGATAACAAGAGAGAATATATGAAAAGACTATGTGTAGTCCAGGCATCTCTAGTCCAAAACAGACAGTATCTTAGTTTTACAGTTTCTCTGCCACTGGCTATCACTGTCATCTTGAAGGGACATGTAAGGGACAAGTAAGTCCCTTCATATCTCCAAGATTTCATTTCCTCAAATAAGAAACACCCAATTTTACAAAGCCCTTATAAGGAATAAATGAGATAATCTGTGTGGACATGCATAAACTTCGAAGAACTCAACAAATGTTGGTTATCACTGAGACTCCTGTCACATGGACAAGAAATTCTGTGCTCACTCAGGTGTGACATTATTCTAGGGCAAACTGTTCAGTCTGCAGGTTGGGGTAGGGGCTGTTCCAAAAGCTTACACTTGTTGCTCTTTCACAAAAGCTGCAAACTCAGGATCATTGGCATACAGTTCCAAAACTCTCATTCTCTCTTGAATTTCCTTAAACAAAAAAGAAATAATAGGCCACACATTGCATCAGAAAAACCTCAACAGCCTTTTAAAAGGAGTTCTACTTTTCATAAGGAATTGTTACATTCTGGGCTATTCAGGAGTGTATTATAAGAAAGAATTACACTTTCAGAGAAATGGAAGGATCTACATACACTCCTCTGGATATTACATGTCCTGCTCTAAATCAGACATATTTCTAAGGAAGAAAGGGAGGAAGGAGAGAGTACCAGTTAATAGTGCAAAAAAAAAAAAAAAAAAAAAAGCCATTGAGTGGGAAATAAGGTACTGCTCAGAATTTAATACTCAGTGCATATCATACTGACTGCGAGATATGAGATAAAAACCAATTACTAAATATTTTTTACACTTTCTTAAAGTCCATATGCATGCACACATACACTCATACACACCCCCACCTGCCACCCATCCACCCCCACCCCCTACACACACACCAGCAGTAGCTGCAACAGCAACAGTACAGCAACATAAATGCAAAGTTTCCCACCTCTCTGGAAAGCTCACTGCTCTCATACATCTGTCTGATTTCTTCTCTGCTCAGCCCACCAATCATGTCTCCGCTAGCAGAGCTGTAGAAGGGATGCTGAGGATAGGGTCCCTCATACTTCTCACATCCAGCCCTGTGACTTTTATACACGGGGTTGTACTTCACAGCATTCTCAATGGATGAGAGGCTGTCAGGCTGCCTGCTGAAGCCACTAAAAGAAAGATAAGATTGATTCAGCCTCCTGTTTGGATGCTCAACTATGTGGGGAAGACTATTTACCTGGGACAAGATTTCTCTTGGGGAAGAAAAATACGTGCACTTTACACACATGGCAGGACGTAACTGTGAAAAACATCCAGATCAATCCCAAAAATTATTTGTCAGGTGTTATCATTATGATTCCCTCACATCCATGGCAAGTGCCCTGTGGACTTGCTCCATGTCGCATTCATCTTACTTGCCATAGCGCCTGGCATTCATAAATGTTGGGAACATGTCTGCCAGTAGATGGTGCTTCATAAACTGTAGCTTCATCATTCCCAGAGTTATACACATTGAAAATCAGTGTGTAGCCACGCAGCAAATCTGACTGAAATATAAATATTAGGGTCTAGGGGAAGCAGGGCCTCAATTAAATTCAACTCAGGTCTACACATATTTACCGAGCATTGATGATGTGCGTAGGACTGTTCTACACACTGGTGATACAAATAATCTGTTATCTCTGCCCTGGATGAGGTTACAGTCTAATGAAAAGTCAGATACAATAAAAAGTATAATGACAATGATGGAGGTATGTCCCAGGTGCTCCAGGACTTAGCCAAGTTGATGGTGAGGGAAGGTAAACTAGACCTCAAGCTGTAGCTCTTACAGACTTCAGACACACAGAAGCGAAGTACAGTGTGTGATTATGATCCTCGAATCCTTAGTCTAGCAAATGGACCAGGTTTTATTTCCCCATCGATGAAGCCACACTTAACTAAACAGAGAATGAGATTTCATTTATTGACAGACCCTTGCCTAGATTTAAAATCTGGCTTATTACCACGAGTATGAGCCAAAGAGGAGCAAGTTGTAACAGATCTGGTCCTCCCTGAAGGGAAATTCACCTCTTCTATCTCATCTCCATCTTGCTTCTCCAAGTTCTTTCTGGCCATGAAATAGGCATTCTGGCCACACTCAACCATGCCTTTCCTCCAATGAGCCTTGAAGTTCATGCGTGCCTCCCTGACTTTGCTCATGCTCATTCAACCAGCTAGAAAGCATCCCAGCCCAAAAGTAGCAAATGTCTACTCTTTCTCTCCAGCAAATTACCACAGCTATCATTAAAACTTTTAAGACTCTTTCCCCAGGCAAAACTTATTTATACCTCATCTAGGCTCCTTAGCATCTTATTCTTAGTGCTACTTCTGTTTTTCTTCAATTTGGCACCCCTTTGAGGACAAGGACCATGTGTTTATTAAAATTCATAGCTCTCTTCCACCCACCCAGCTCCTTGTCCAATATTTGGCACCTGGTAAGTACTAAATAAATGTGTAAATGGAACATTGTATTCCATTAGAGAGTTCTTTTCCTTATTTACCTGAAGGGCCTCTCTCTTTTGCTCCTGTCATGGTGTGCTTGAAGAGTCCTGATGAAGAAGTAGATGATAGCAGAAAAGATGACAAGAAGTCCAACCACAGAGGCAATAGTGATGCCTATGATCACAGGCTCAGACACAAATTCCTCACAGTGCTTGCCTCGGTACCACCAGTTCTCACCCACACGGCACCTGCAACCAACAGTCACCAAGTCCGATATCTGAATCACTCTGTTCACACTGACAATTAACAGCAGAACCTTCTGAGGGACTAGGGAAAAGTGGAGAAATAAATGCTGACCATGTGAAGCTTCATAAAGAGTTGAACAGACAGGTTAAAAGATCATACAATTTAAGGCAGTGCATAAAGCCCAGCACAGACCTAGTAGGTCCTCAATGACTGTTTGAAAAAAAACTGAATAAAAAGCTAAACAGGTTTAAGGAAAGTATTCTACTTAACATCCTTATTTATGGATAACCAAAAAACAAGCCTAGGAAGGAAAGTGACTGGCATTAGGCCATATAATTAGTCTGCTACAGAACTGGGTCTAAAACCCAGGCCTACAGACTCCCCATGTCCTTTCAGTACGCTAAAGATATCCTTCAAACCCTAAGGCCACGGGGAAAGGAAATCACTGCTTTTCTAGGCAATATTAATTTCTCTGGGCATGAAGAGACTGTTTTTCCCCTTATAAACTTTATGCTTCTTCATATAGAAGAGTCTGGATTATTTCTACTTATTTCCTGTTTCTGGCATCTATGCCAACGTTTGCTCATTTTGACCTTGCAAACTGTCCTCTATTTTGTGTTTCTCCTCCTTATTCTCAGCATCCTCTCCTTTTCAACCACACAGTTTTGGTTGTGTGCGGTTAGAAAGTTGATTTGTTTGACTTTGTTTAAGGGGAGTGGGCAGATGACAGTCAGACAAACTGAACCTGCTCATCTTCTCATTGGTTCTACCTTTAGAAAATGGATCTCGGCCGGGCACGGTGGCTCAAACCTGTAATCCCAGCACTCTGGGAGGCCGAGGCGGGCGGATCACAAGGTCAGGAGATCGAGACCATCCTGGCTAACACCGTGAAACCCC